CAGGTACTTCACATATACATGCTTTGCCCTTGATTTTTGTTTTTATAGCAAAAAAACGTGCTGCTTAGATATGTGCAGGTCACACCAGCATGAGAAGCTTCTAGAAATAGCCAAAAAGGCAAAGAGCCCCAGAATGATAAATGATATCCACCTCCACAGGCCAAAAAAGAAAAAGGGAAAAGTGTCTACTGCTGCAAGCTAAAGTGCTCGTCACAAAATTGAGATGGCTGAGCAAGATGCAAAAGAGTAGAAGAGTAAAAGAGAGGTAGGATATTCTGGTACGGAGTACAACATTAGCAATCGAATATCTGCTCTCGACTCCTCCCGTACTCAGCAGGCATCAAGATGACAGCACGGACGAATAAAAGTGTAAAGATTCCAGGGGCCACAAAAAATCTATTGGAAGTCGATGCCCTGCAAAGGAAGATCTGGATAGCACTAAAAAAGAAAGAAAGAGGAAAATAACTGGTAGCAAGTTTGGATGAGCGAGCGATAGATTTGATTGACTGATATCATACAGCCATACGGAGTACATCCAAACCATACCATACACACCATACGAACCATAACAAACCATATCTGCCTACCTACATACATACATACATCCATCCATCCATCCATCCATACATACATACATACATACATACATACATATCCTCGATACCTTATCACTCTATTTTGTGAATATCTAAGAGGTCGAAAACTTTTTGTGTTTACTATTCCCATCTACCCTGGTATCATCCCCGTCCCCCAGTCTCTCTCTCTCTCTCTCTCTCTCTCTCTCTCTCTCTCTCTCTCTCACTCTCACTCTCTCACTCTCTACCTATATTTCCAACCTCGATCATATCCACCCACTCGCCCATTTTTCTCATCTTAGATATCTTGTTGTGCTCCTCTTAATATCTCTCTCTCACACTCTCGCGATCTTCACTTCACTCCACTTCTCGTATCCTATGGGACTTCTTTTTCAGTTCCTCATCCATACCGAAAATAGCCTTTGACGCACTTCAAGAAGCGAACAAATTTGCTTGTTCGCAATCCCCCAAAAGACAACAATTTTCAAGGAGAAGAACAGAATAAAGACGGAGAAGAAGGCTACCAGGTATATACGAAAAAGATAAGAAAGAAAAAAGAGAGACAATAATCGCAAAAAAGCAAAGGCGAAAGCGAAACCCCCAAAAGTAAATAAATCCCTACTCTCTCTTCATAAATACTTTAACTTTTCCTCCTACCTTTCTTATGTATTTCTCTTCCCTTTCGCTGCCTCTTCCTCTCTTCCTCTCTCTCTACACCCTACCAAAATGGACTTTTGACGTCTGGTATTGTGTTGTATGTGTGCTGCATTAAACGGAGTTGGGGAGTTCATGTTCTTATTGAATATATTCTAAGAGCTTCTATAAGATTCTAGCTACGGAAAAAAACTTATATTCACCACACGCCACACACAACCTACCTAGGGCTGGTTTCACTCACCATAATAAGCCATTACATCAAAACCAACCGTCATATCGTATTTTTTATTTTTTATTCGCTCTCACAGTCTGTCCAACCACAATCGTTCGTCAGACCGGCTACACGCACCCACGGTCATCCCAGCGGGAATTATTATCTATTCTCAATGTCCTTTAACCTCTTTTCAAAAACACCAAGAAAACCAAAGAAACCTGAAGATAACGAGGAGGGAATTCAAACGGATTCGCCTCGCTCAAAATCCCCACTAAAGAAATCTTACTCAAGATTAAGTAAAAATAGAGAGGAGGAAAATATTAAATCAGAGGAAAAACAATCAGGCTCAACAAAATCCAGCCGTATTCGACCAAAATCGAGTGTGTACCCGTCGCGAAATTCTTTTGATCCAAATACTACTCACCCTTTAAACCTTCCGCCAGATCAACTGCGGAGGTTATCAACTCAAGTCAGGATGTCGGAACCTATGGATATTGACGTTGACTCTCCTGCCAGCGCTCGCAATCCTTCCCCACCACCTGCAACCAATTCACAATCAAACACCCAAGCAAGCTCATCAAAACCAGCAGAGCCTGCTCGTAAGCTTTCTTCAAAGTCTGCTCCAAAGCCTGCTCCTCAGCCAAGTGCACCCAATGGTGACAGTGCTCCAGCTAATGGAGAGGGACCACCTCCTCCTCCACCAGCTCACAAATCAAACCCAACAAGTCCTCAAGCGGTAGCGCCACCAACCCCAGAAGAAGCAGAGGCATTCAAAGATTCGGGAAATAGATACTACAAGGCTAAGCAGTACAAGAAAGCCATTGAAGAATACACCAAGGGTTCGTGCCTTCGAAAGGGTTTAACACATGACAACTGCTGATTTTTGTGCCATTTGTAGCTGTCGAAGCGATGCCATCATCATCCACCTATATCAACAATCGTGCTGCTGCTTATATGGCTGCTGGCCAATACTACCAGGCTTTAGAAGATTCCAAGCGAGCTGACCAGCTTGATCCTAACAACCACAAAGTACTTCTACGATTGGCTCGAATTTACATCAGTATGGGATTACCACAAGAGGCTATGGATACCTTTGGCCGCATTCAACCACCACCTTCAGCAAAAGATATGGCACCAGCCAAAGCTATGTTGCAACATCTTGCGTCTGCAGCAGACGCACTTAAGAACGGAACTGGATCAATGGCAATACACTCTATTGAGCAGGCAGAAAGATTACTTGGTATGGGTGTACCCAAGCCACGCAAATGGCAATTAATGCGTGGCGAGGCTTATCTAAAGATGGGCAATGTCAATGCTTTGGGAGATGCACAAAATGTTGCCATGTCTTTGTTACGAGGAAACAGCCAAGATCCTGAGGCGCTTGTTCTGAGGGGTAGAGCTTTATACTCTCAAGGCGAAAATGATAAGGCCATCCAGCATTTCCGACAAGCTTTGACTTGCGATCCTGATTACAGAGACGCAGTCAAGTATTTAAGATTGGTCAGGAAGGTTGATCAGTTGAAAACCGACGGAAACGCGGAATTCAAGGCTGGACGATACCCAAATGCCATCGAAAAGTACAGTGAAGCTCTCGCGCTCGACCCTACAAACAGAGGAACAAACTCCAAATTACTTCAAAATCGTGCTTTGTGCAAATCTCGCCTCAAGGATTATGCGGCTGCTATTGAGGATTGTGATCAAGCTCTTCAACTTGATCCTTCATACACCAAAGCAAAGAAGACAAAAGCTACCGCTCTTGGCGAGTCTGGCCAGTGGGAGGAAGCTGTACGCGAGCTCAAGCAGTTGCAAGAACAAGATCCTTCCGACGCTAGTATTGCTAGGGAGGTACGAAGAGCTGAACTCGAGCTGAAGAAGAGCAAGAGAAAGGATTACTACAAGATTCTTGGCGTTGAGAAGGACGCAGATGACAACCAGATTAAGAAGGCTTATAGAAAGGCTGCAATCATCCATCATCCAGATAAGAACCGGGATGATCCACATGCAGAGGAGCGATTCAAGGATATTGGAGAAGCCTACGAGACCTTGAGTGATTCTGAGTAAGTTTGATCTGGTTTTCCTGACATTACCGCGTTGTCTAACATAATACTTCAGGAAACGTGCACGATACGATAGTGGTGTAGACTTGGAAGATCCAATGGATGGCTTTGGAGGCGGTATGGGTGGTGGTGGGGGAGGAATGAATATTGATCCAGGTTAGTCTACAACCTTGATGGTCTGAATTACACTGCTAATTTTGTCAATAGAAATTCTCATGCAAATGTTTGGAGCCCAGATGGGAGGGGGCCGTGGAGGTGGAGGTGGTTTCCACAGCTTCGGTGGAGGTATGCCGCAGGGAGGTCGCGCTCGGGGCGCTCCTCAAGGCTTTCCTGGTGGATTCTCGTTCCAGTGACCTGATCAAGATCAGAATCAGGATATCAATCAAGATCAATCCACCTCTCACAACACATCAAAAAGTTCGCGTCAAAGTTCTGATTTCACAAAGGCTTCTCATGATCCTGACAGAACATGGTGGCTACGTAAAGCATGGGTGGGGTTCCTACTGGCGGGCGTTCTTCTTCCTGTTGATCTCTTGGCCCTTCTAGCTTTTTTAATGGCCGGAGTGTACATTTGCATCAAAATCACCTTTTACGCGCGTCGAAAACGCGACGCCTCATAGAATTTGGGGATTAGATTCCATTGCAGGCGTTTTCTATCGTGGATTTTCATTTTTGATCCCAGCTTTGAAAGCATGATGAAAGGATAACCACATACACACCGGACAGATTTTGAAACAGCATCAAGAAATTTGAAGGGGGTAATGTGACAAATGAGGAATTGATGTACATGTCTGATGATATTTATCATAATGACATGGGATTTCTTTTATTACCTTAACTTAAATAGACTATTAATGAACATAGTTTGAAAGATTTCTAAACGTATTCAATAACATAACTGGGTGACATATGTTATACAGTGTGAAAATTATATATCTAACGCCGGCCTTCTTCCCTTCCAAGTATTCTCAGATTCGTCAGACAATCCCTTGGGAATTTTTCAATAGTCGCAACGAGTAGTTACCCAACTGAAGACTGAATCCGGATAAAATAGGGGCCGTCTCTCACGTGTCACCTTTTCACCAAGCGAAAGGCTGAAATTAAACCTTGCCTTACCCTTCATTCAGATTTGTGTGTTGTGGTGGGGCAGTATCTTCTGAAGAACCGCTTTCAGTAGAACTTTTCCAACATCATATTGCAAAAAACTGGCAACGAAAGTTATTTTAAGAGCTCAGGATACACACTCAAAAATCAGATAGGGATTCAACGTACAATTTTACAATCGTGCATCAAGTCTTCTTTCTATTGCAAGCTTTTGTCTCGTCCCCAACCATCCAACGAATAAATCTAAGAATTATTATGACTCGATAGCGGAGTCTCAAAGAATGCTACAGATGTACATGCGATCTACTTTACAATAATTGTGGATCATCTGAACTTCCTAAACCTTTCTGTCTGCTGTAACCTCAAGCTTTAGTTCTAGGGAATACAGCAGTCATGGACGCCCAGGTATGTTTTTGATACACCGCTTCCGGGAACTTCTGCGCTGGCGGGGGTATTGCTCGAGAATGGAAGTTTGGAAATAAAGGATGGAACATCTGTACTAATCTGCCATTATTGTATAGATTGAGAAAGCCATCGAAATCGCATGGGACCCTCGATCCGACCCAAACTTAAAACAACAAGCGGTTCAATATCTCACTCAAGTCCGAGGCGACACCTCGAGCCTACAAGCATGCCTTAACCTCTTCACCAGAGCTCCAAAAGCCGCCGAAGTCGTACGATTAGTTTCACTGGACATTGTCAACAATGCGATTCAAACTCAACATATAGACGATCAGAGCTTGCGTGGGCTCAAGGAACAACTACATGACTATGTCAGAAGAACATATGCCTCTGGGAACGAGGTCGATCCACCTGCTTTACAGAACAAGCTCACACAAACCTTGACATTTTTATTCTCATCGTTATACAAGGAAGGCTGGGAAAGTTTCATCAGAGATTTCCTAAGCTTCGCAGGTCATCAAAATGGATCAGTGGATAATCTTTCTGGAGTTGTATTATATTTGCGGCTTTTAAGCTCTATCCATGACGAGATTGCCGATTTGATGATAGCCAGAGCTGGAGAAGAGACAAAGCGAAATGTTGAGTTGAAGGACCTTGTGCGTGCTCGGGATGTACAGACGGTCGCAGGCTCTTTTCAACAAATTCTCACATACTGGCAAGGCAACAACGATGCCATTGTTGAAATGACATTAAAAGTTATTGGAAAGTGGGTCTCGTGGATTGATATCTCTTTGGTCGTAAATCAGGATATCTTGAATTTGTTGTTTCCATTGGTTGGCCGAAACCCTAACGGAGGTGAAGACAAAGTCAAGGAAGCAGCAATAGACTGCTTCACAGAGATTGTGGCAAAGAAGATGAAACCTTCTGATAAGATAGGAATGATTCTGTTCTTGAACCTTGGAGAAGTTGTGTCGCAACTTATCGCTAGTCCAGCCCTACATGACTTACGGAACACTTCTAGCTATGATACCGATCTTGCGGAAGCGGTTGCAAAACTGGTCAACAACGTTGTTTCAGATCTGGTCAAAATCCTCGAGGACACCAAAGTTGAACCCGATGTTCGAGCCCAAGCAGAGCAATTATTGCAAACTTTCCTTCCACTTCTACTCAGATTTTTCTCGGACGAGTACGACGAGATATGCGCAACAGTCATACCATCTCTCACAGAGCTAAACACATTCTTACGCAAAGCACAACCATTACCACCTGCATATTCCGCCATGTTGACACCTGTTCTCAATGCGATCATACAAAAAATGAGATACGATGACACTTCTTCATACGCCGATGAGGATGAATTAACAGACGAGGCTGAATTCCAAGAGCTTCGAAAAAGATTACAGGTTCTTCAAAAGACTATCGCTGCAGTTGATGAAGCTCTGTATGTTGATGTCTTGAGCAACGTGATTGGAAGTACATTCCAAAGACTCGAAGAGCAAAATGGCCAGATAGACTGGCGTGATTTAGACCTTGCACTACACGAAATGTACCTTTTTGGGGAACTTACGCTCGTCAACGGTGGCCTCTATGCCAAAAGCCAGCCATCCAGTATCGCAGCCGAACGTTTGATCGTCATGATGTCTAAAATGGTCGAGTCCGGTAAGATTGTGCCAGCCCCCTTACAGGAGAATTCACTAATTGTAAATAGGCATTGCTTCATTCAATCATCCTGCCATTTCACTCCAATATATGGAAATCTGCGTTCGATACTGTTCGTTTTTTGAGAACCAAACCCAATATATCCCTCAAGTTCTCGAGCAATTTGTTAGTTTTGTGCACCATAGTCATTCACGGGTCAGGATACGTTCGTGGTATCTATTTCACCGATTTGTAAAACACTTGAGAGGTCAAGTAGGCAATGTTGCGGAGACTATCATTCAATCAATCAGTGATCTCCTTCCTTTGAAGGCAGAGGTACCAAGGGAAAATGATGATGACATGTCATCAGATGATGGCAACCATGATGCAGCGGATGTTGCATTCAATGCCCAACTCAATCTTTACGAGGCAATTGGTTGTATTTCATCCACAACTTCAACACCAATAGAGAAGCAAGCCATTTACGCAAGAACAATCATGGATCCTCTGTTCTCAGACATTGAGCGAAACTTAGAGCAAGCTAAGTCGGGAAACGCACAAGCTGTTCTACAAATTCATCACATCGTTTTCGCTCTTGGATCGTTAGCCCATGGATTTTCTGACTGGTCCCCAGGAGAAGGAAAAAGGGCTGGACAGGCACCTGTCAAAGAGATAACCATTGAATTCAGCCGTGCCGCGGAAGCAATTTTGTTTGCGCTCGAGGCACTCAAGGCCTCTTTCGAGGTCCGTAATGCAGCAAGATCCTCATTCTCTAGACTGATGGGAGTCATGGGAGTTGCTATGCTCCCTCTCCTTCCAAGATGGATCGATGGCTTGTTGTCCCAAAGTTCTTCCAAGGAAGAAATCGCCATGTTCTTGAGATTATTGGATCAAGTGGTATTTGGATTTAAGAAGGATATACATGAAGTTCTCAACTCCCTACTGACACCACTTTTCCAACGAGTTTTTGCTAGCTTAAGCGAGCCGGTTACAGGAACAGATGATGGAATTCAACTCGCTGAATTGCGAAGAGAATATTTGACCTTTGTGACGGTCATCTTGAACAACGAGCTCGGTTCCGTTCTTGTCAGCGAGCAGAATCAGGCTTTCTTTGAACCCCTCATTCAGTCGGTCACAACCTTGGCGAAGACAGTCACAAATGAAAATGGCAATCTCGCGGCCAGCAAGATTGCCTTTAACGTTATGACAAAGATGGCAGAGATCTGGGGTGGCCCAACAATTGCCACTCCAGGCCAGCCCATTACCTCGCCTGTTTCCCCTCAACCAACGTTCCCAGGCTTTGATAGTTTTCTCATTGAACGTTTTCATCCGGTTTGTTGGGAGGTTCTTCGCGATCCAAACTTCAGACCATTGGTCGATGCACAATCCAAGAGCGTTTTGAATGAATTGGCGGGATTGGAACAGGTCATCTATATGAAGACTGGAAATATGTTTGTGGAGCATCTACAGGGCAATTTCTTCCCAAGTATGGGCGTAGATGGTAGCGGATTTATCAAGAGCATGGTGGAGAGTCCTGAAAGAAAGGGACTGGCGACGTTTTTGCAGAACTGGATGAAAGGAAAAGCTTAGAGCAATGCATTCATTTGCACAGGCAAGAGACGATGGTAGCGATGAGGCAATGAGGTTTCGTTGATATCCGATCGGAGGAGACTTACTGATTGTTAGAACGGCATGAGGGGAGGAGAGGAATCATTGCATTTTCGAATGGCGTTGGAATGGATGTTTATATTATGGTTGGCTGGTGATTGCAACGAAACTTAAACTATACCACAAATGGATATGCAGGTATTGGGATGGGAGAATGAATATCATGATCCTTTCAATTGGGCTTTAGGTTGAAACAGTGCTTAGGGAGAAGAAGTGGAATAGTCTGACGTTGTTGCTTCGGTTCGAAAACAGTGGATGTGCTGAAATGAATTGAGGGTGCTTATCCATTGTTGATGATTCAGTAAGCGATCACTAGAAGAGAAAGGTCATATCATTCACTTTCGTATGCCGAAATGCTCTTGTGCGTATGTTATGAGGATTTGGGATGGGTGCAGCACGGTTTTGTAGTTGCAGAGGATGGATAGAGCGAGATAAATTAGCTGAGCTGTAGAAATAAGGAGAAAGAGGTGGTAGGCGGAAGCTGGTGTTTATGCTGAAGCCAAATTCGAATGAGGTGAATTAAATAAATTAGATATTTTAGATATATTGTCTAGGTTAATCTGCCAACTGATTTCCTTCCTCATACTCGCCGAGGGATATACTCATTCTCGTCCCATGTGCTTTGCGATCAGTTTAGGTCTTTTTATCTCACAGTGCCAGATCAGAAGTTCGGTCATTTGTATTTCCTTCCTTCCAAACCATGTTGACGGGCGATGGAAGGGCTTTTACGTATGAAGAGCAAGCACAATTTCAGAAACATTCAAGTAGACAAAAATATCGTCAATCCAGCGCCGATTTCCTGGGATCTACTTGTCGAGATACTCCAAGGTCTTTTTGGAAAGGATAAAAGACCGACAAATAGAGATACTTCTGTTACGAGAATGGGTAGAGGAGATTGAGAAATGTAGGGCGAATTTGGATGGGTAAACAATGGGGAAAGGGGAGACTCCAAAACCTGCATTGAGAATGGTTGAAATATTAGGGAATGGGAAGACAATAGATGATATTAGTATATGACGGGCAAGAGTAAAAGAGCTAATAGGATAACGAGGGAGATGATCGAGATGTGGTTGGAAAATGAAGGCTATACTTTGGAGATTGGTTATTGGGCTGTTTGATGGATTATGGGAAAGGGAGTAACTGACCAGAATAAGACTCAAGTGCATTAAACTCATAACACTGGAATGTACAATACTTCATTGCGATTCATGATCGTCTCTAGCGAAGTGATTGATTTTCTAATGGTATCAAGTAGCCTTCTAGGAACCTCAGCAGAAACGAAAAATTTATTTGCGCTAGTAAAATTCTTCTTTATACTGTTGTGTTAACATTAAGACTAAGCTTCCAGTCTCATACTAGAAAAGGGTATATCCACCCATATGCACCCAGATGTATCCATACATTCATAACGCCATCGGCAATTGTTCTGATTGCCTTTCGTTCCAACCCCTCATAAAATCAAGCAATGTCCACGTTAGACCTAAAGTTACACTGACATTTGCACTCGGCAACTGGGCATTCCACGTGTCTATCAAACCAATTTACCGCATGATCCATATGAGCAGCATGCTTGCATTTCATGCAGAAAGTTAATTGATTGCCCATCCTCTTCACCAATGGATCCTCCGAAAGCTCAGGCCTGTCTGATCTTGGAGAGCCACAAATCTCTAAACAGATTCCGCAGCGAGGTAGGTGCGAGCCACAACGAGGACAGCTAAGGCCGGCATTAATACCGCTAGACATTAATGGATTGCGTTCGTCGGCGCTGGAAGAGGGACCAGCGGATGAATTAGGAGGTGCGGGAGCAGCGCCTGTAGCATTGTGACGATCGTTTGCCGAACGGTTATCGCAAAAGAGACAACGAAGAGTAACTTGGCGAATGGGGGGTTTAATAACTGGAATACCGTCTCGTTGACGAGACTTCTTGGCCGAGCCTTGGTCAAATTGGACGCGTAGTATGAATTGTTGATGGCGATTTAGATAAGCTTGGTAGTCACGACGCCAGGCATCGCAACGGATGTCGGAGATGTAACGAGGGTAGCAGAAAGACATGATTAGGATTGCGGTTTGGTAGTCAAAGAATTTTGCGACATATTTCGCCAAGATATCGACCATGTTGTCCGTGATTCCTGCAAGAACGATACCTTCGATGTCTCCGTGTTTGATAGCTTCTTCCATTTCCTTGTCAAGCCACTCTGTGAGTTGTAGGTCGCTAAGGTATCTTAAAGCTACACCGGCACGATATCTCAATGGTAAAGCCGTCTCATTTGCAATGACCTCCCAGTCTCTCGTTGTGATGTAGCTAAATATAGCTCTTAGATATGGATCGTCCGACATGTGAGCTTGTTCTCGAAGCGTCTTACTCCAATTAGAGAGATCAACATTGGGAGGACTCTTGACGGTGACATCGAGTGCTACAGCAACAAATACTAGCTCTTTGTCTCCACGTCTGAGGATCTCGACTGCTTGTTCAGGTTCGCCCTCAAACAACGCCCGTGCAGCTGCTTTAGTAAATTCTCCTCTTCCCTCTAGACGAGCCAACATCTCTTTTAGCTCTGCGGCAGGTGTTGCAAAACTGCACTGGGCAAGGCACAATTGTCGGTGTTGAGGCTTCATAGTTGGCACACCAGTATATTCTTCATGACCGACACGCTTATTTATAGAAGCAATAAGCCGTTCCCACTGAGTGGGATCAGGGATAACAGTGCTCTCAACAAGTCTTGATTCAGCTTTCCCGCCAAGATTATTGTTCCACAAGGTATGGACTCCCAAATAGCTAAGGTCAAGGGTTGAAGACAGCATACCGTCATCCTTAGCAGCTTTCTCGGCAACTGACAATGTTAAAAAGTTTCAAAGATAATAGAGAGAAGGACATACCTGAAATCCAGTACCACACATCCCTCAGCCATGGATCGTCCTTGACTAGTGATTTGTTCTTGTTGCAATCAAACAAATAACCATTGAGAGCACGTTGAATGAACAGATTATCAATTAGCATAGCTTCGGCCTTAGAAGATGGTATGCGGGATCCAAGTAAAATTTCGTGCATCTCCCTGCTTGAACGAATCTCGGTTGTCGATAGATTCTGAGCCTTCGACTTCCCCTTGCCCAAAAGACTCATAGTGGATAATTTGTTGTTCAAGGAGCCAAACCCGCCATAATCGCCAGCACCGCCTCTCTTAGCAAATGTTTCAGATACTGGATCGTTAACGGTCAAAAGCTGCCGGTCGATAGCTTCTGCAAAAGTTGCCTTTGTAAAAGCTGCTCTTTTGATCTGACTGCCAGGGGTTTCCGCTTTGACTTCTGATGCTGGAGCTCCGGGGCGCTCAAGAGCTTTGTCGAGAGCAGCCGCTAAAGACTTTTGAACGTGTGGGGTGCTGTATCCGTCTGGCCCAAAAACTGGCGTATTAAACTTCAACTCTTCTGCAAAAAGGGGGCCAAGGCTTTCCCGACGCTCGGTGGCATCTGCAAAGTCCATCAAAGTGTGATAGGGTACCTTATCGTGGTTATGTGGCGGTTGCCATGGCATGAAGTCCATCATTTGACCATTACTAGAGGGTGGTGCTTGCATAATCTCAAATGATCCTGAAGCTCTCAACGCGACGACGCGAGGCTGCAAATCTGTATTTCCTAGTGTTAACCAATCAAAAGAGACGATTCTATCCTCTTGCCTGCGACCATGATCTGGGTCTACATATGGGTATTCGAGATCAAATGACTTCTTAACCTGAAGTAACTCCGGGCTTCCTTTGACATCGTCTTCAGAGCCAGGGTCATAATACTCTTTGTTAGTCTTCAAGATTTGAAGTTGACCGGCGTTTGAGAGAACACCCAAAGTTCCCCGATGCTCTCTGCAATAGCGCAATGATTTAATATACGAACCCTGTTTGTCGGTAGAAATGACCTTCTTTAGTTGCAGAGCGGCTCCCCAAACATATCCATCGTTATCAAAAGCATCTAAATACATTGGAGAGGCTGTGGCTCGTGTACTGGCACGTCTATCCCAGACCATGAGTCCAGGTTGATCTAAAGAGGAGGAAGCAAAATAGTTGGGGTCTGAGTAGTCGATAGTAAGGTTATTGTTACATTTAGTTTGAAATGTGATTACTCCGCCGCTCGGATCTGTTATGTTTTAGTATATAGATCTAACGTTATGGAATTGAACTAACCTCTGAGATCGTGGATTCGAACACAAGAGTTCTTGATACCAATAGCAAGGGTTTGCGGTTGATCCTCGAAGAACTTGATGGTAGTTACCTGTTGGGTGTTGTCAGTAGCGCCATCAAGGGTGCTTTTCTCACGTCCACTCACGGTGGCCGACTCTAACTTTCTCGGCTCGACCGCATTATTTGGTACCTTCCATCCTGGCTGAGAGGTATCCCAACCAGTTAGACGTTGATTGACATCCCAAATCTGCAGGGAGCCATCATTGCGAACTCTTTCGAGACCAATTGCTAATAGTCCAGTAGTATTAAAAGCAACAGCTTGACATGCTCTTGGCTGTTTGATGGAAAGAGACAATACAGCATTAGAATTGTCGTCAACTCGTAGTAATTGAAGTTCGCCACTAGAAGTACCAACAGCAACCAAACCTTCGACAACTGGCGACCAGTCGAAAGTGTTCAAAGAGGGAATATCAATGTAACGAGATAAGGGTTCATACTCGAATTTACCTGGCCGTGCAAGACCCTTAGCCTCGTAGACTTGAAGGATTCGGTAATTCAAGTTGAACGCGACAAACTGTGCACGAGCCGAGTTTGGCGACCATCTAATGATCCCTTCCGTCTTGTCCATGTTTGCTGGAAAGTGCCAATCTGGTACTCTATCCCACTCTAAGAGTTCGACCCTTTCAACTCTTGCGTTTCTATCCGGCTGGTCGTATTGCCAAATGCCCAGTGGGTCTTGGGACCAGCCTGCAAGAAGTACCTATCAGCTGATCTGCCTGCACTCAAGGCAACTCAAAAGAACTCACCCTTTAGATGAGAAGTTGCTGATTGCGAGGGTTTCGGTCGGAATCGGAAAGACGTGAAATCGAAAATAATATTATTCACAACTTCATGATTAGCACAGTTTAGCTCTGGGTAGGTCTTGCATTCGTAGTCCTGCTCCTCTATAATATCCGTATTTCCAAGGGAATTATTTATGTTTTCAAGGTTTCCGACTCTGAAGTCGTAGCCGTAACCAGAACAAGTAGCGATAGGTTTGAATACTTTATTAGTTCGACTGTTCTGAGATCCAAATAAATTTGGAATAGCACGCTGCCCTGCGTCTTTCGATCTATAAGTCAACTATTAGTTAGATAGCTCCTAAACTTCATATATTGCTTGAAAGTTGATTCTGTGATTTTCTCTCTCGCCATACACAATAAAACAGTGAGATATAAATTTGCACTGAATTCGATCTCTTGAACTTCTAGACGTGAGAAGAACTGAGAAGCAGTAATAATAATTATCAAAAGTAAACACCAAAATACTCACAAGCTGTCTGCCATTGTATTGTTTGATGGCTCGTGCTCAGTCGGGTTAATGTTGTTCCATGTTGTTTCAAAGTGGGTTTGGGTGTGGAGGAAATAATATTTTGTAAGTTTAACAAATTTGACAAGGCTGAGCAACTACAACAAAATCAGTTTTGAATCAATTTTTTTATCAATTCAACAACAACATGGCACCAAAGCGTAAACTCTCGGATTCTGATGCCGCAGAAGTAGTGCATCCATCTAGACAAATTCAAGTCTACGGCGATGAACCAAAACCTGCAAAGAAAAGAAAGTCAGAACCTGCATTTAACAAAAAACAAGCTCATGCCTCCAGTGTCAACACCATAAAAAAGAAGATAAGAGACATCACAAGGAAGCTTGAGAGGGCGCAGGATCTTCCTGCAGATGTGCGCGTGGAGGATGAGCGAGCTCTTGCCGCATACCAACAAGAATTGGCCTCTGCAGAAGCTGAGAAGATTAGACAGAAAATGATAAAGAAATACCATATGGTCAGGTTCTTTGGTATGTTACTCCCTCGGTACAGGATCTGCTTTCCATAAGACTGATTGGGAATTATAGAGCGCCAAAAGGCTACCAGGCAATTAAAGAAACTCCGAAAACGTCTTCTGGAATCTGAATCTACTGAGGAAGTCGAGCAATTGAAGGATGAAATGCACATTCTCGAGGTAGATCTCAATTACACTCAATACCACCCTCTAAGTGAAACATACATTAGTCTTTATCCACCAAAGGGCTCAGGAGATGATGCAGAAGATAAAGCGACGAAGGAAAAACCTCCAATGTGGAAGGAGGTCGAAAAGTGCATGGAAGAAGGAACTCTTGATCGATTACGGAATAGAAAGCCAGATATCACCGTTTCGACTACAAAGCCTGTCAGACTTCCAGAGAGAAAGCTTGTAAAACCCAAGTTGACACCGGAAGCAAAGCCTGTCGTGCAAGCTCCAGCTATCGATACTACAGGAATGAATCGACGCCAGAGAAGAGCTCAACGCGGGGTGAAAGATTCTAGGGCTACAAAGATCGCAAAGAATAAATCCACTGGGTTTTCCAAGAACCAAGCATTTGGGGCCGTAGAAGGAGCGAGAGCGGACGAGGCTCAAGATGGTAATGTTAGCGACGGAGGTTTCTTCGAGGAGTAATGGTAATTTTATGGAGTTGGACTGTATTACGATACCCGTTTATCAAACACGTTTAAGTGAAAACCATGACTATCAATGTTATACTGTTTTATCTTTCAACAAACCATGCTTGCTTTCGTGAGACACTATGCTACCCTTCATCAGGAAGAGGCAGTCTGCAATTGGGAAGCACTAAAGGCTGGTTCGGATAATAATAAAGTTCTTATTGTATTGACTGTGGTTATCTGGGAATAGAGACTGGTCAGATAGCCGTAGATGGCACTCATCAATACAGTCTATTCTTTATTTCTGACCTTTTGCGTTCATACACGAAACAGCGTTAAACACGATTTTGTGTTGGGCGCACCTTATCTATCATGAGCATCATGTCAAGACCAAGAGTTATTCTCATTTATTTGCAATGTAGACAACGACGACTATTTCCAACCCAGCATTCTATTTAGCCAGAAAATTGACATGAAGACAACCTTGGAAATGCTCGCAACAAAGCATCTCTCAAAAATTCACCAGCCCTCAACTTCCATTATCCATCCAACTAGACACCAAAAAGCCCTCCACCATCAATTGCCTACTTCACCACCCAAATAAAATTCAAAGGCGCAAAAAAATGTTTCAAATGCCTGAAAACTCACTCCGGGAACGTCAGCAACAATGGCTGAGATCTTTTCGGAATTGGGGCACGCAGAAGCGCGACCGTAGTACCACACATCTCTCTCTGTTTGTTTATGAGGATAGTATTCTTGTTTGAATCTATATTGTTAACTTGTGAAAAAGTGAATATATACATTAAGAGATATCATATTTGCATCAATTCTTTTAAAATCTCTTTCTAAAACCAATATATATAAAAATTCTTCAGCATCGGAATAATGGTCGGTCCAATACTGATACCCGTAACAGTTAGAAAGTAGAGCATTCGACTTAAACATTAGACTATAATAATTAACTAACTATCTGATTTAGACACTATAAGATGCGATTTCTATTAGCGTATTATATTATCTATAACTTGCAATCTAGAAGAGATTATAAATATTATCTGTCCTCTTCAAATCGATCTATTATAATAGTACTTTTCAGAAGCGTTTTAGTTTTTCTTGTCTTAGTAGAATAATGGGAAAGCCGATAAGATTATAAATCTCTATAAAATTACAAGAGACCTTGTCATCCTATACACAAGGATTTTCGGCACTATAGGATAGGTTATGTTTTGTAGACTCACTGCGGGGTAAGTGCCAACGTAGATACTAATTCCAATGAAGGGAGCCATAATGGTTGAATTGGCAAACACTTGAAATAATCATTTCCTGCCATAAAAATACGAAATTTCAACAAGACTACTCGAGTGTTGAAAGTTGCGAGCTCAACAGCACTATGTCATCCTCACCAGCATTTAATGAAAGCTTCGAATACAGATTGCGTAAGGGACTAAATCGATTGCGGCGTAAGTCTAGAGACTCTTCGAAGGATGCCCATATCAATTCAACGCCGAAAATCCCGACAAATTCGAACACACTTGCGACTAAGTGAGTATTATCTTTTGACAACCAGACTACGCTAATCAATCAAGCAGTACATATTCAAGCTTGGAACGTCTAACGCTGCAAGCAAGTTCCAATTCCCTAAGCCAAGCGCATGATCTCTCAAAGGAACTACCAACAGCCAGAGACGATATAGTTCACACACAAATTGATCATTGCACCGCCCTTCCGAGAATTCATCTAAGCGGCATTGAAGATGACTCCTCTTCCAATCACTTGACGCCTGGCGCTGAAATTGACTTAGCCATTGTTTCTTTAGACGTTTGGAGCGCCGCATACCGTGAAGCAGTAAATAGTCTTGGAAAAGACATAAATCTTACTATTCTTAGGAGCGAGAATCTTGCGGAGCTATTTAAACAACTCGAAACTATTGATAAAGAGGTGACTCAACAGTCCGTCTTCTTGAGAGGGGTAGAATATCTGCATTCTCTTCAGGTACCACTAGACAGGTTCAAGCTGGCATTAGACCTGGCCAGCCCATTGACGAGTATTGAACCCACTACGTCGATGGTCTTTGGTATTATCAAAGGCGTGACAGCGGTAAGACTATTTTACTGAAATCTCTCACTTGGCAATTTCTGCTAGAAATATCATACAGAAAGCATTAACTTACACCTACTATATAGATTGCTATTAGTATTTCAAACGCTGATCTCAACTTCGCGAAACAAATCGGAAAAATGCTGGAACAGCTCTCCTATATTGATGATTGCGACACGCTTGGTCAGAAAACAAACAAGATAGATATACACAAGGTACTACTGCATGCCCTTTGAAAGCCTCTTTAACAGTTTACAGGCACTCGTACTGGTATATCAGAAACTTCTAGAATTCTACATTACCGCATTCGAGATACTAACCAGGAAAGGAGCAAAGTTGGTTATGAGTCTAGTTCTAAAGGACAGCCATCTGCCAGATATTGTCAAAGATTTTTTGGACCATGCTGACAACCTCCGAAAACTTGTGCAAAAAGCGACGTGGGAGATTGTTGAGGATATCAAAACTATGCTTTATGATTATGAAAGTATGTTATCCCCTATTAAGATATGTTGGCACAGCCTGATTTGTCTCTAGTTGCAGGGTGGCTAGGTAGTGAGAAGATGAGTAGACAAAACCAATACCATGTCTCTTTGCAGGAAATTCGAGTTGACGAGGCTTGTGAATTCTTGCTGGAAGATACAAAATTTATTGACTGGTACCATGCCACCGATTCCCAACAATTAGTGATCCTTGGCGATATGGGCTGCGGAAAATCTGTTGCTATGGCATATCTTATAGATGAGCTACGCCGACAAAATGAGCACCAATTGCCTCAACCTAAGATATGCTACCATTACTGTCGGGATGATGAGACTGGTCAAGCTATTTGTATCTTCTCAGTTTTGATTTTGTCCCTTCTTGGACAATTATCTGGCTTGAAGAGATCATTTTTCGACTGGTATAAGCAAGGCACGGCTTCCGGAATCGAGCTAGCGACAAATTCCAAACAACTAATTGAATGGTTGCTAAAAGCCTTAGAAACACTCGATCGCCCACTCTTCCTTGTGATTGATGGTCTAGATGAGTGCGATCGAGCTTCCCGGAGAATTCTTCTCAAGTCGTTGAGAGATCTGTCCCAAAAAACTCCGAGACTAAAAGTTCTACTCTCTTCACGACCCGAAGAGGAGATCCTGCAGCTATTAAGTGGTACAGCCAAGATCAATTTTAATTTTGATATTGAGCGAGATAGAATCATTGTTGAAGAGACAGTTGAGAGGCAGTTGTCTTACTTGTCGAAGCCTGTTAAAGCATTCATATCGCAGTCATTATCTCGCTTGGCGCAAGGAAGTGCTATTTGGACAAAGATGACAATTGAGCTCATAGAAATCCGCGGAATCCGGGCCCTTGGTCCAATGCGAGCTTTCTTAAAAGAAATACCACAACCTAAACAGCTTTCAAAGCTTTACGCTAATCTGCTTTCACGATACACTTTCAAAGATCCAGAAAATCAAAAGCTTGCCATTGTAGCGTTGGAAATCCTTGCCATCACCCGAAGACCTTTGAGTATACTGGAACTTGCTTGGGCGGTCCTCGTGGGTACGTATGATGAGAAAGATATTAGTATGGATGTTCTTTCCGAACTCGTAGATCACCAGAGAGTCATCGGCCTAATTCAGCCATTCGTTGCTCAAATTGATTTCAGCGATGTCAGAAAGCATCAAGTTAGACTTGTACACCAGTCGGTAAAAGAGTTCATTTTCAAGGAATTGGCCCCAGATTCGCCTGGTCCAGGAAATTTGGCTATCTCTACTCAAGGAGGAATAGACCAAGTGTTTATCCAGCAACGCACTGAGAGCCTAGAGGCAGGAATTGTGAATATATGCATCAAGTATCTTCTCTTGGAACATGTTGGCAATGCTGATCTATTCTCTGAAGAGCAAGTGGCAATCGAAGAACTGCCTCAAGATTTCAATCTACTACTTGATGATAATGATGAGTCGAAGGACTACGATCCCTATTGTACATGGGAAACCTGGGAGGAACACATGATACATTACCTTCCGACTGAACGTGGCTTTGGTGAGCTATTCGTCTACGCCTCTTGTCATTGGATTGAGCATTTCAGCGCTGTTTCAACTAAATCTCTATTACCAAGTCTCGAAAGCATAGAAAATCTATGCCAAGCTGGTTCAACCCGTCTACGTAATTGGATTACACAAAACTGTCGTCCGAAATGTACAATCAAGCCCAGGTTCGTATTCGACAGTAGTCTTTATGATCCCCTCAGTATCACTTCGCTCTACGGCTCAGAAGATATGTTTCGGATTATGCTTGAGAGCTCAGACTTCAAAAAATCCAAATTCCTCCCCAATCCAGCTATGGGTGCTGCGGAGCAAATTCTTCAATGGGGTGATTTGTCCAGACTCAGGCTATTAATGAGAAGTAAGATTGGATATCAGATTCGGAACCTTGACTTTTTTCTGCTTGTCATGAAACAGTGGTCTAGTAGGATGGCGCATAATAAATCTCGCAAAGGCTGGGACGTACTATTCGATCTTATTGACGATGTTTCAGATATAATGGTCGAAGAACGATGGGGCAATGAACTCTTCCGAATGGCTGTCAGTATAGGCTGTATGCCTATGATCCGGAGGCTACTAGATGAAAGTTATCGAACGGTAGAACTGAGATCCGAATTGTTTGATAGGCGCGAAGCCCAACATCAATTGATTGCAGAAGCCGTTGTAGGAAATCACGTGGACGTTTTGGAATACTTATTAACGCAACACGATATCGAGGCACACCTTCAATACCAGAACTCACATGGTGAGAATGTGCTGCATCTAGCATCTCGTTTATGTAATCCTGCTATATTCCGAAGTTTGGTACCTCGTTGTAAGGACATTGTGTGCCAGACGGACGATCAGAACAATACAGTCTTAATGCGAATCATTATGAGCCCCTCAGCTACACAGAACCGAAGCGAGTCAGCACGAATACTGCTATCAGAAAGTGGAGTCTATGCGACAGGCATTTTTCGGGACGAGCAGCAAGAATATCTAAGGGAAGCGATGCGACTTGGCGATGTAGATATGTATCACACCTTGATTCGAGTAGGCAAAATGAACCCTCTTCCAGCGGCGATACACGGTGACGATGATCAAATAACATTGAAAGATAAGAATTCTGAAAACAAATAAGGCATACCAACAATGCTAACATTACTATGCGCGCATAGTGATGAATGCTCGAATCGACATAGGCTCAATTATTATCATCGTTCGAGATATTTATTCAAGATATTTATTAGCTAGTTCAATGTGACGAAAACATGCCTCGTACCACAGCAAATTTTCAGCCATTCCTAACTTCTTACTTATCGACTTCTTACCCTCACTGATGTTCTCGGGTTTTTTTAGTGAGTAACGTGGCTTATCAGCGTATGGTCCATATCACCAAGTGGCCCACTTCGAAAATATGCCAAAATCGAGGTTTTTAGAATATTAATATTTTAATAATAAATCATTATTTTTCTATATAAAAAAGCTTCTTTATAAATGATAATAAGATATCTATAATTTATGAGGTTCTTTTCATGAATATTTCATGATGGTGTGGTTTATCATCATGTGGGCTATTTTCACCTCAATTATTATATTGTAACATTGGTACTTCTGCCTGAAGTTTTGCTATTTCAGACCTCCTTTTCGGAGCTTTTATTATTTCTTCTGTTCTTGAGGAACTACCTTTATCTCTTCCCCTTTCTCCATCCCCTCCTTCTGTCTTTGAATCGACAATCCAAAGGACGATTTAGATTGATTCAATAATCAAACATCCAGTCGCGTCATTTCCAACTGCTGAAGTGATAAACCCACCCATCATCTCATTTCTCTCGTGCGTGTAGAATAAAGAGTGAGGGTTTCGTACACGACAAGTCAAAGTCAAAGGAACTCTGTATTATTTTGGTCACGGGAATGACATAGTTTCTCGCCAGAGCTATGTTTTGTGGGCAAGAGGGGGTTTCTAGCATGGCCTTATTAGCACCAGAAGAACATGCGAAATCAAAGTTGACGACAGGTCGATTTCCAAATGACAGTGAGAGGTCATTCTTTTGGCAGTAGGTGAGTATTGTTTCTACTGTAACAATGACATCAGAGATATCATCTTTTCGACTGATGAGAGTATGAGTTTTCATCTCAGATCCATATCTCTTAGGCTCTTGTCAGAATCTCATCCGTTTTGGTTTTCCTGGTTACGACGTAGGAGCACTACTTGAGGAAATTTTCCAAGTTATAAAACCATTCGCTCTGCTGAACTATTGTAGCCCTCGGCCATATAACTATCAAGCAGTTTCTAGGCACAACATCCACGAACAATTCTCCGTCAAGCATTCAAAGACATCGATGATCCATCTCCAGGTTACAAGCTGGTCATCACGTGTGAGGGGTCGTCCCGTAAACGCTAAGGTTAATGCGGCCCCACAGAACTTAATCCATCCCACCTCCCCAAGCAAGCATCAAGCAAAAAAAAAGCATGTCCTTAATAGTCGGCTCTCATAAACAGCCGACTAGTTCCTAGTCGGGGAAAGCGAATGTCTCCGGAAAGCGAATTGTTCCCGTGAGATTTTGGTGGTAGATTTATGATTTTTAATGAATAATATTTGAATTTCATGAATAATACTACGAATTTTGAAGCTATTCAAGATCTTTTAATATCATTGAATTGCTATAATCTTATTGAATATGATTATATAAAAAATTCGAAAATCATCCAAAAATTGAAGGTTGTGTACTTAAAATGAATTAGATTTCCGATAAAATTGAATGATTTTAGTGCATTTTGCACCCAAAATCTCACCGGGACAATTCGCTTTCCGAGGACATTCGCTTCCCCGACTAGGAACTAGTCGGCTGTTTATGAGAGCCGACTATTACCATCCAAGCCGGGAACTAATGCGTAGGTTCTTCGAAGAGAAAAGCTGACAGCAGCTGGCTTGGAGATAGAAACCATATATGAGAGAGATGCTAATGGTGTTGAGAGAGAGTGGGTTGCGGATAGAGGAGCAGAGGATCGAGATGCAATCGCCAGAAAGCGATGGCTGGTAATTGCCGTTCTGAAGAGACGATAAACCTGTCCATCGAAAGAAAGTTATTGTACACGACTCATTTACATATCATCTCTTTCATACCCCAGCAGCGAGGATAATGGTGTTTATTAGAATGCTTTTCAAATATGTTGCTTAAGAGCTAGAACGAGGCATCCGTAGATAGCTATAATCATAGTATAAAGAGGTTCACACCAATTAGTGGCAGACCATCAAAAGACCGCAGAGAATGTCCTCCGCTTCTCTGGAAAAACAACAGGCACAGAACAAACTGGTGAGAATAAAGTAAAACACCAATATGAGCCCAGTATGAGCATCCCCTTTAATCTATGACGCCGCCACTGTTTTGCGCCTATCGCTTCCGAATTATACCCAAATCATTGAACCTTTTCCGTCTCAACGACTATTTTAACATCTCCATCCATCCACTCTGTCTTTCTGACTGATAATAGAGCCATGGCATACGTTGCTTCCGATTTGACCTCGACCAAGCCATTGGGACCTAAAACCTTCATAACTGTCTTCTTATAAGGTGCTTTTACTGCCGCGTCAACATGTGCAGTAAAGCTGACAAAACCTACACAGTTTGTGGGATTCAAGGTAAACATATCTCTGATACGTTTGCCATTATGAACAATATTGATATGATACTCAAGTGGTGCTGGCTGCTTAGTACTGATCTTTGGAGGTTTAGCTATTTGTGGCTCAGGTACTTCATTAGTGGTCGCATTAACTGCTACGGCTTGAGTGGATGCAATTTGATTAGGCAAACTGAGTTTGGGATCAATTGTTGAGGGGCTGGATGCCTGAGTGCCGTGAGAAAACGCCGCGCCGTGTAGTTGGGAAAGCTCTTCCTCTTTCTTTTTTTGGATTCTTAGATTAAGGGCATATAGTCGCTGTCTCTCATTGGTGACCATGCGACGCAATAAAGGGGTAATTCTGGTAATGATCCTAGATGACTGTCAAAAGAATGGCACTTGAATCGATGATTACAAAACTCACCTATTCGGCATTTGAGGCCACATGCACTTCCTGGTAGCACCACTTGGAGAATCCTTACTGAAAAGTTTTTGGCCCCATCCCTCTCCTCCTTCTGCCTCGTCGGCCAAGAAATTTCTGACACATGCATAGAGCTTTAGCTTCGTCATATCATTATCTCTTTTTTCTTTAGTACCGACACATGCGCTTCGATCTGGGTGACTCGGGTCTAACATATAGTCCTTGGCTGCAGCTTGTAGCGTGATGAAGTCTTCAGGTGCTAACTCCAACTTTGCAAAAAGCTTCGACATTGCCGGTCCTACAATGTGGTTAGCCAAATTGTTATATGATAATAACGGGGAGGCTTACTAGTGTATTTTCTGTTAGTTGCTGTTGATTTTCGGAAAAGTGCTGCAGCTGAATAAACACCATGTGCTCTTGGGTTAAGATCAGGAATTGTTGACGATTTAGCTCGAGAAACGTTATCATCACCCTCGCCTTCACCCTCGACCTCTTCATCCTCTTCCTCGATATCAGAAGGTTCTGACCCCCATATTTCTCGTTCTCTCGCAGCTTCCTCTTCCTCTTCCTCTGTTAATTTTCTCACTTTTCTTGGTCTAGATTTAGCATTTATAAAACCAAACATTTCCCCGACTTCCTCTGCTGCATCTTCCGATTCATCCCTGCGACGCTTTGAGGATGCATTGCTTGGTGAATCTCGAGTACTTTGTCCGTTGCCATTATTGCTTGATGGTGTGCCTGATCGCATGCCATTTACCCCTCCAGCCGTATCGGCAGCTTTCAAAAGGGTCGCGAATTGTGCATTTGTGCTGGTAGATTTAGGAATCTCGTGATTGCGAGATGAGTCCCATTTTGTATTTGTAAGTTTTTCCAACAATTCTATTGGATCATCTATATCTGCAATATCGTTGACGGTCAATTCACGTCTATCTATTTATCGAGTCAGCAGTGTGATATTAGAGAAATGTGACATGGGAGCTCGCTACTTACTTGATGGATAATTTGGTAAATCTGCATATCTACTACCAGTACCATTTCCATGTTCATTCCCATAAGTTCCTAGGTTTCTCACTGAATGTGCTTCATTTTGAATTGTTGAAGGTGTATGGAATTGAGTTTCATTAGCCATGATGCATTCAGCGATTGATGGTGATGACTTGTGGGTACACGGTTTTGTCCTGTTTGCTCTTTGCTCAAAATGCGATTTTCTTTTTGCAACTTTGGCTTGGTGGGTTGGTGGGTTGATTGAAATGGTAAGATTTCATGTGATAATCGGGAAATCGGAATCCTAAAAAAGATTTTTTGCAAGGTTGTCACTATATGAATAGACACTTATCGGTAATTGGATTAGTCATCACCGGTCCATGCTAGCTTGTGGATGGATTTACCAACAAAAGCGGACGAGGCAGAACTACCTAGGTACCTAAGTAACCTTGGAAGTCCTTTAGTGGGCCATACAGATGCTAGTAAATGCTTCATTGTACGAATTCATCATACAAGTCGGTATACACACTAAATAATTCACCAGGGCCCATTCGATACCATTCATCACTCATCCAAACATCAGAACTGGTAGAATAACAGATAAATAGTCATTCTATCGATTATTGATACCTTTTCACACTCTTCCAAATGGAAATACTTTCTATTATTGTTCTGATATAATAGTTATGATAGAAACGCTTGCAACTTCATCGCCTATAGGCTCAGAGATATTTGCTCTGATTGCCCTGTTGGTTATTAGTCTAGTTGTACTACTTATACTCCGACATTATCTGCCAATCCGTACGACTCCGGCATACCTTCTAGTTCCTATCTTTTTCGCGCTCTGGCTGCCGGCTAGTATCGTATTACTGGTTCCTATTGATCTTGCTTCAAATGCAAGGACTGAAGATGCGGGAAATCGAGGAATATGGCTCTACGACCGAGTGCTGTTGGTCGCCTGGCGCATCACATACTGGCTCACATTTGCCTTGACTTGGTTCGAGACACTTCATGCCTCTATCTGAGACTATACTGATATTTCACCAGGTTCATTTTACCCATACTTGCTGAATATGCTGATGCCGGTTATCGAGATCCAAAAGGCCGTCTACT